TCAGCCATATCTGCAGGAAAGAAAAAAGGTTCTCTTTTAAAAGAAAACTGTTTGGGAAGTTTCTAGGGAAGAGTCTCTAGATTGAAAAGATCCTTTTCTTCAAAGACTAGTTTTCACAACTTTTTAGGAACTATTTCCTGGATTTCCAAGACTTCTTTGGATCCTTTGGGTCCTTTGGATTCTTTGGGGTCTCAGAGCTCTTTGGGCTCTTTGGATTCTTTGGGTTCTTTGGAATCTTTGGGCTCTTTGGTTTCTTTGGGCTCTTTGGATTCTTTGAACCCTTGTTCTTTGGGGTCTTTGGATGATTGGAGTTCTCTGGGTTCTTGGGATTTCTATGGGAAGGGTTTGCAAAATGGAGATATCTATATCCCTGAGGATGTCAAGGGGAAGCCTAAATTCCTCAGCAATTTGATCCTGGGGAATATCACCAACTGTGAGGTCCAAATTAGCTACCAAGAGAATGGGAACTCTAACCCCGTTGATAACCCTAGTGGTTTTTCTTCTGAACGTTTTTCTCAAAACAATCTCTGCAACGTTTGTTCTGGTGTCCTGAACTGCAGGGTATTCTATCTCAATATTTCCGTCCACTTGTCGGAGTTTGAGGTTGAGATTCACCACTCGAGGGCGGGCAGGAAAAGATGGGAGGTGAACACTAATGAATCGAGAAAATGATCGCACGCGAGAGGGGGTTCCCCTCGCTCTTGGCGGGTCTCGAGGAAAAAAGTTTATGGGCCCGGGGCGAGGCGTTTCGGTATTTTTCGGCGTGACACGGAGTGTCACGCTTCACGGTAAAGAATTACCGTGGCGCGCCTCAGCAGGGGGTTTCCCTTTTTTCCGCGCTCACCTTTCTCGTTCCCGTTTTCCGCGCTCGTCTTTTTTCCTTCCCACTCTACAGACTCTCTTTTTCACGAAAACAACACTCTATTCCAGAATAAAAAATCTCTTGGGGGAAATAAAACACAGAAATATTTTTTGTGGCAACAAGTGCCTTTTTCTATATTTTTCTCAGAGACCAAAAAGTCTCAAAATTCAAAACTCACTTGAAAACACTTTTTAGGGCACTTGAGAACACTTTTTTCTGGGGGGAATTCTTGGGATATTTTTCAATGTGCTTTTCACACTTTGTACTTCAAAATTTCTTTTTACTGGATTTTTTTGTACTCAGATCCTAGAGATCTAATTACTTTTTTGAGAGTCTTCAATTACCCGTGATCAAGGGGTATTTTAAAAACCCATAAAATAAATTCCCACACACAATACACACATTTTTATATGTGAGTTTATTTTATGTGTTTTTATTCTTAAAGAGGGACTTGTTTTTATTGATCCTGTGTTTTTATAAGAAAAAGGTTTTTATGATATAAAAGAAAAAGAAGTTCAGTGTTTAAACCTGGTATTTTTCTTTTCAAACTTTCTCACAAAAACCTTTCAATCTCTAGGACGTCTCCCAGCAGATCACAATCCCATTTGTTTTACTGGCTGACAAATTAACCACTTCTATTCTTTTTCTGGGTCAAAATAGGAAAAGACCCCTTCTATTTTTTATTCCTAGGCAAAACAGGACAAAACCTCTTCTGTTCTTTCTTCCTAGGAGCAACAGGTAAACCTCTTCTATTTTTTATTCCTAGGCAAAACAGGACAAAACCTCTTCTGTTCTTTGAGGAGCAACAGGAAAACCTCTTCTATTTTTTATTCCTAGGCAAAACAGGACAAAACCTCTTCTGTTCTTTGAGGAGCAACAGGAAAACCTCTTCTATTTTTTCTTCCTAGGTTGAAAACAGGCAAAACCTCTTCTGTTCTTTTCACTCAGGCTCAACAGGAAAACCCTATCTGCTTTTACTGGAGGAAACTAGCAAAAACCTCCCCACTGCTTTTAACTTGGCTCCAGCAGCTAACCAATCCTTTGCTTTTGATTTCAGGCTACAGCAAACAACCCAACCTTGCTTTTAATTCCAGGCTCCAGCAAGTAACCCAAGCTAATTTTATTTCTAGGATTAACAGATAACCTCTTGACCACAATTACTAGGTGAAATTTTTTGATGAGAAAGAAGAAGAGAACTCTTTAATGAAAACCCTCTTAAGAGAAAAATTCTTATCAACCTTTGATGAGTGAAAGTCTTTAAGGAGGGCTTAAAGAACCACCTCTTCAATCAGGAGTTGTCCTTTTCCGGTCTTTTCGTTGTCTGTCGTTTTTCCTCTCTGGTCGACGCCAGTTCCCGAGTCCACGCGAAGACTTTTCCCACTTGCAAGATTTTCCTACTTCGCGATTTTTCCTGACTCAAAACTTTTTCCAAAAACTTTTTCCAAAAAACTTTTCCAACACTTTACCTTTACCTTTAAGAGGGCGACTCACCCCCCTCAAAAATTACAAGTCAGACTAGCCGACTGCGCCAATTTTGTTATCCCCCCCTAGCTCCCAGTACTTGGAACTTGGAAAGGATTGTGAGTCGAGTGTATGATTATTCACAATAAGACTTTATTATCATACACTGGTTTTTGTACAAGACAAGACAAACACAAACACAAAGCTTTAAGTCCAGTGGACTGAGAAACACACACTAAAGATTTACTTCAGAAAAGTACTAAGGTTAGCTAATCCTGCCTTTGCTGACTAAACTCTAGAATGGTTCTGAAGAGCCAGGAGAAAGTCCTGCTCTTTATATACTGCCTGGTTTGGGGAGGAACCAGGAAGAGGAAATATTAATGTGCATTAGATGCACACCTCTAGAGGGCAAGGTTGCCCACAACACACTTGACCCAGGAACAAGGAAGAGAGAAATGCAGAATCATTTCTCTCATCATTCTTTTTGAACCAGGAAGAGGAAATATTAATGTGCATTAGATGCACACCTCTAGAGGGCAAGGTTGCCCACAACACACTTGACCCAGGAACAAGGAAGAGAGAAATGCAGAATCATTTCTCTCATCATTCTTTTCCACTATACAGCAAAGAGGGTGTTCCTCTCAAGAATCATTTATTCTTGACAAGGTTAACCTTTAACTTTAGAATAACAATGACTTGCATCTCACACAGGAAGGTTGAATATTGGGAGTGGTCTTTCAGAGTGAGAATAACCAGAGAAAAGCACTTCCTGCTTTTCCAGGATAACAGTACTGCATTTAGAAGCATACACCCAATCCGCTCAGTAATAATTATATTTGGGGTCAGCATTGGTTTTAATTGTCCGGCCTTTCAGGTTTATGGTATCATTTCTAGTTGAAAAGATGAAACTAAACTTGTAAACTGCATTTATAGTAAATTATAAAGGATTACCAAGTGTATGTAAATTAAAGAGATATATTAGCATACATGCATCCATGCGTTCACACACATAGCATATGCAGTACACACACATATGTACACATGTATATTCATACATCATATTGGGAAACTTACAGCAGATATGTGAAAAAATAATCAGGGACATTTTTTCACTGGGAATGGAGAGGTGGTGACGTATATTGTATATTGATAATTCATGCTTACGTTACATGGTAAGGCTTATTATGCTGACCATATCTACAATTTTTTGAAAAATAAAATTTGAGATATTCTACTAAAAGAAAACCCTGCGCTTCATTAAATGTTGAACTGTAGGCTACATATTTCGTCAGGTTATTCATGCTTAGATTTTTTCTGATATGTTAGGTTTTTCCTATGAAGTGTAAACAGGCAGATTCTTTTCATAAAAAGTTCAAAGGACCAAAATAAATTATTTGTATAGAGAACACCATAACACAGGGACACAGCTCTTTGGAATAAAAAAGTTTGAAATGCAGAGAAAATCACAGTGGACAAAATTGTTTCAGAGAGAGTCCGCCTGTATTTACATGCATGAACATCATGGTATACCATCAAACAATACAATAAGAACTTGCGAAGACTAATGAAGTTGGCTTCAAAAAAGGAAAGTGTCCTGCAAGCTGTCTTTTTTATTTTTTACTTCAATCACAACATTTTCAACAGTTTCTATAAAGAAGTTCACACTTTAAAAATACATTATTCATTGTTATACCTTAGCAGTAAATTAGATACATCCATGAAACAAAATTCAAATTAGAGTAATGAATTGCTATCCTGGAAAGTTTTTCCTTTGTTTTGAGAAACTCTCTTTTGGAAAATTTATTTTCCCTCTTCAAGGAAATATACAGGATTTCCTCTGCAGCTGTTTCCTTGTTTTGAAAATCTGCTTTTCACATCACCCGGTGTGAAGAGCTAGATTACGCATTTCTCTTTAATAAAGTACTTGAATATTCATTTCTTTCACTGCTGACAGTGATGGACGCTTTTGGGCCACCGCTCCTCTGAAATACAGATTTCTGATGAATTATCATGAGATATATATATCTTGTGTACATTGTGTGTTATGGTGTTGTATTTATATTTTAGAATACTTAATGAGTATTTCCACGAGATCCTGAAACTTGAAAATGCACCATGGAACCTTGGGTGTCCTAGATTTATCTGAAGTTATTCATATTTATTGAGGAATGGCATATTCCTCAGAATCAATCTAGAATTCCATTTGTGATTCCTTCTCAGAAAGACTTGCAAGCATTTGGCCAGACTTCCTTACAAATCATCTTTTTTATCATTGTTATTTGACTAACAATGGACTGAATTGAATATATCTTGAATATTATTTGAATGGCGTTTTATATTAATTTTCATTAGTGCAGACAACAGAATATGAACGTCGGCAGAATAATGGTCTGATGTACTTTCAAGTCCGCCTGGGTTTTCTTTGTTTATCAGGCCTTTGTGTAGCCGATTTCACACAGGCAAAAAGCAGCAGCTAGAACGCTATCTCGGGGTTTGATCAGCGCCATACTCACCTCACCTTACGTATCTTATCTCTCGCATTTCTCTTCAAACAAATGTACTCCTCGCTCTCCTGAAAAGTTCAAGATAAGATTGCGCTGTTGGGAACCGTGAAACTGGCGAATTTCTCTGTTTCGTCTCTACCCGAAAAAAAAACCCGCCAGCCCTCGCATGAGTGTTTTTGAATCTTCAACAGAAACTTCGGGGAATTTGTTTCTTTTATCTTGTTGTGATTCGTGCGGAGAAGCCCACGAAGCCATCGACGGCGTTTCGTGAGAACTGCAGCGACCTCTGTGAAGCAGAACAAAAAGCTTTCGTGACTCAATCATGAAAGCCAGCTTCTTCGTCAAGATCTGCGGTGAGTCATCGTCATCGGTGACTAATCCTATTATTGACATCTTGCCATTCCGCGGAATGCTGTAATGTGACAATATTGCCAACAGTTAAAGAAAGTATATTTATACGCTGTACGAATTTTGTTACCTTTACGAAATTGATGGACCATAAAAAGAATGGTTGATGGATATATATGAAAAACGGGGTTTGCTACATATTTTGGCCCATACGACTTCACGAAAAATAATACAGCGAAGGTAATGTGACTTTTTATTTTGAAGTTTCGAACGATGCTGAAAGATATTGATGGCATTCATGCATATAAAGTTTGAATAGATACATTATGGAAAAAATGCCTTTTTGGCAAACAGGTGGACTCTCTTGTCCACAACAATCTTTTATGAGTAATAAAAGGTTTTGTGGTCCCATATAGTGTGCTAGCCCCATGTCATATAGGGGTCCTCTACAACAAAATTCTCTCTACGGCGAAGTGTCTTTGGTCCCCCGAGTTCCATAATGAAGAGAGTGATGAGAGACTCAGACCTGTTGTACATTTACAGTTGAATAAATCTAAGCAAGCGGGATCTGGAATTATTTATATGGAAACGAATATTTTAAGTATTTCATCAGAATAAGAAATAAGTGGTAATTTCGCGAGGTCTTTCCAGATTCTGGCACTAGATGTGTTTCTAAAAAAAAAAAAAAAAACTTAACATGCAGTCATGAAAAAATCCCACCTGCTTGTGTCATAAAGTTTATTGTCAAATATAAACCAAGCCAAAAATAAACGCTTATCAAACATCAGGCTTCGCTTACTTTCAGAACGATGTTGAAAATAATTTTCACAAGTCCTTTGTTTTCCACTAGATTTTTGATTGTCTAAGTCAGGGGTGACCAAGATTTGGCCCACGGGCTAGATCTGGCTCGCGGAGGCCTTTCATTTGGCCTGCAGAGACAGAATGGAAAATTGCTGATCAAAAAGTCAAAATCTCCAACCATGAAAATTGTCAGGTTTTCAATGTCTTCAGTTGGCAGTTTAATTGAAACTCTATTAGGGCTTCAGGAAATTTTGCAATGCTTACTTCTGACAGGAAACACCACCAGAGCAGTATGCATTTTCAGGAGATGCCAGTGGTTCTACTTTTCCGATTGAAGGACCAAATCTTTTTCTGATGTTTGCTGAATTTAAATCATTCCCCAGGATTGCTGTATGTACTGTTTTCAATGTAAGTGTATCTATTGATGGAGGAGAGGTTCACCGTAACTTACATTTTAGATTAGCATGAACATATTCATGGTATCATTTAAAAATGCCAATCGGAGTTCAAATGACTCTGCAAGTAATAAAAGCCTTATGAAAAATCCTGTAATCCTTGAACTTACTGTTTCCAGACACAAATCCCAGTTTTGACCATGCCAAAATCATCATGAACATTCCATGGGTTCATAGATTGAATTTATGCTTCTTTTAATTGACCTATATTCTCCAAATTTACAAGTAAAATCATCCACAGTATAAGTACATTTCTGGGCTATTTGAAATCATGCTGTGCAACAACTAACCATTTTAATGCGTTCTTTCTGTTTAACATTATGCTTCCATTTGTGATTTAATTGATTCAATGAACTTTTTGAAATTAATGCATACTGTATTTTCAAGGGGATTCAATTGCAGTCCAAACACAGCAGACTATATTCAAGACATTTTCATTTTGAAAAATATTTTTGGCTGAAGCAGTGGAATGTGCCTGTGCTATAGAAAGTGATGAACAAATTCTGGAAGATATGTGATGTCTAAAAATAGCAGATATGAAGGAGAGGATAAGTTCCATGAATTAATTTGAGCTTTGGAGGTTTTGAGTTGGAAAGGAGCGAGAAGAAGAAGAAGAAGAAGAGAAGAAGAGAAGAAGAAAGGAGCGTGAGAAACAGAAAATAATTATACAAAACATTTTAATTGATGATATTCTGGGCCTTAAATTTATTTTCAAGTGAGTTATCAAGATGCTGAACTTGCTGATTTGCAGTCAAGAGATTGTTTTCTCTATTAGTTGTTCACTTCCCTTCATTACCAGAGGCATATATAGAGCATTAAGTTAAATATTTATCCCTCTCCTCTTTACTGGGAATTAAAATAAAATAGCCAAGAAGGCCTCCAGGAAATTCGAGTTCTTGAAATTTAAGCTGAAATCCTTCAAGTTTAGAGGATTCATTGTTTTCCAGCAAGGAATTCAGACATGCAGGTGTACTTGAAAAATATAAGAATATTCCCCTGAGGACGACTTCAAGTTATCAATGGTCATTTGCGCATATGTAATGGCAATAATCATCAATGAAGATTATGCTGCATAAAGTAGAATCTTTGAAAATTCTTAGGGCTCTGCCTCGTGATGACCGCGTCCAGCAGCTACGCAACAGCAGAAGCAGAACCCAAGGCAGAAGCCAATGCGGAACCCAATGCAGCAGCTGCCCCACAACCCCAATTCGGTGGCTCAGGCAGCAATAGTAATAATAACAACAATTTCGGCGGCTCGTCTGGGTCTTGGTCAGTCCCCAGCGGCGTGGACCCAGACTTGTACTCACGCACTGAGTCGGACAAGCTTTGGGACTGCTACAGCGATTGGCGCCTGCGGGACAGGTTCTTGCGAACCCCGCAGTCCATGGACAACCTGATTGGGCTCATCAGGAAAATCGAGGCCTATCCTCAGACCCAGAACTGGGACATGGAGAAGACAGCAGCTGTCATACTCCGAAGGTTTGTGGGAAATTATAATCAGAGAAACTCATGAAACCTTAAATTTTACTCCAAAGATTGGTAAATTACTTCAAATAGTTGAAGGTTAGAAAATGTATGCATTAATTCAAATACTTAGAGCCCTAGAGTATGACATGCAATCATATTTTCAGGCTAGAATTTTAATGACATTGTATCTTCAAGTAAGACATGCAACCCCAGCATTTTAGTGACTTTAAAAGTGCAAAATTTCAAAAAATGAGAACACCCAACTTCGAATTTTGACATGAATTGAATCTGAATTCAATTAAATTTTGATGCACAGTATTCCATAAAAGTATTTTTTCTGATAAAAGTTGGTTCGAGACATCTCTTTGGAATCAAGTGTAATGCATGCTTTTGTGAAAGCAGTAGTTTGTCAGATTTATGGAATGCTCTGAGTTTTAAACATGATTTATGAAAATATCAGGCTCTTTAAATTACAGTCAAAAATCTTGAATTCAATCTAAGATGAGGGGCCCAAAACAATTAGGATTTAAGAATAAGGTTTCAAGGTAAGAGAAACCAACTTGTTTTCCAGAAAAAAATGATGTCAATCATAAAAGGTAAAATTGGTTATTGTCTGGGTCTCAAGCTGTTTGGTGAATTCATAGTTGATGATGACGATGAAGAAACTCTATTCTCCACTTTTTAGCATTCACAAAGTTTCATAGTTGACAGGATGCTGAATGTGGAACCAATTAGCTCCTGAGTTCTTTTCAACAACCAGTAAATAACATATTTATGGCGCCTTTTTTTCCTGGGTCCCTAGAATAATCGTCCAAACTTATAAATCTGTGTAATTGCGTTATACATGTTTTAGGGTGGAGGCCATTATTAGGTTTTTATGAAGAGAATTCATACCGACACAAAACATAAATTTATAGAGAAAGCTTTTCCACTTAGCAATAAGGTTTGAATGTGTGCGCTCCATGTACACAATCATTATATTGTACTCATTATTCAGCCATGATATTCTCAAGAACTTACCAATACAATTATCCACTATTCTTTGAATCAGTCCATCCATATATTGGACTGGAAAGTATGTTTTGAGGGCTAATTTCATGTTTCAGGAGTGAAAAAAGAAAACTCTTGATCGGCTGTGTGCGCAAAAATGTATGCCCTCATTCCATTACTCTCAAACAGTGTGTTCATTGTTGGAATCCTTCTTTTCCTTCGCCTTATTATTCACTAATTTTCACCTCATTCGAAAATAGACGAATTCTGGAATTATTGCTCAGTTCGTATTGAAGAAGTTTCTTTGGTCAATTTCAAAATGGCTTTGACCACACAAGAGAAAAGAGTTTAGATTGTTTTTAGAGAATTTTTCATTGAAGCTTGAACTGATCGGACATCTTCTTCCTCGATTATGGTTCAAATTTCTGGCAATCTTTCCGTTTATTATCGAGAAAAAAAGAAAATGAACAAAGGAAAACTCTTTCCTTCCACTGAGTCATACTAAATCGTCAGTTTTTCTTCTTTATTCCTGATATAATTTTTCAATTCAAGTAGTTGAGTTCGATGGAAAGTCAGAGAAGATTTACGCACGCCATATTCATACTATACTGTATACAGCCATATCTCCGTCAAGTATATTCCCCTTCAAAGACTTACTGTACTGTACACACTTCGAACTCTGCGATAAGACCTTTTTTCATTTCATCATCACGTCAACGAGATAACCTATGACAACTTGTGTCCTGAAAAAATTGGTCAGAATTATGATTCATTCGCTTCTGTGTATACACTGTATGAAGCACGTCATTATTATTCTTCACAGATTCCGCTTGGACGGGATTTTCTTCCGGCCAGGTGACAAGAATACGCCAGGAAATGACATGACGCTTTTGTACGAGGTAGTATAGTCGTCCATTCAAGCCAATTTAACATTAAGAAACGAATTTGAATGCTGGTGATTTGAATTTTGAAAAAAAGGGCCGGCAACACGAAGAAAGGAAGCAGACGATCCTTTACAAGCTCGCCCCTGATCGCAGTGCGAGTGAATTCCCAGAAGACGCCTTAACACCCGCAGAAAAGGTTTGCTGACATTATTATCATTGTTCAGTTCATTGCATGCATTTGACAAATGAATAAATTAGAAATTGTCAAATGAAGCAAACAGAATACATCAAATACATTGAAGTACAGTACCCAGCAGGAAATATTTGGGGGGTGGCAAAATGACAATGTTTCAAGTTCATCTCGCACATGTCACGAGAATCTCTGATGACGTTGTGTCTTTCGCAGTATATTTTAAAGTAAATATTTTTTTCTCACCTTTGGCGGCAGTGTGGACTGCATTTCATGCTTTCGTACACAATCAACGACACAGCGAGACCCGACGAGAATGACCGAGGTTTCAGCAGTGGAAGCAGTTTGGGTCGCAGGAAACGAGGGATATTTTCAAATGACGACGATCCTGTTGGAAACGACAATCAAATCAGTGACGACAATCATGCCCTTGAAGGATCCTTTCGCCAGCAGTTGCGTGACGATTCGGAAGATTCTCTTTCGGATGCGTAAGTATTGTACTTCATACTTTAAAAAGTTGACTGTGTCTCGGTATTTCGAGAGATTAACCAACCAATTTACACTTCTATTGCGTCATTGCTTCAAGATGACCTCTGGAAATGTGCAGTTCGATTCATGTCTGCTTACATGCAGTACTTGTATACACAGGGTGATTGAACATTTTCCACCATTTCAACTGCTCTCATTTGATTTAGAGTAAGTTTTAAAGTGTATATGAGACCCACGCTCCAGTTTCAGTTGGATGTGAATTAAAATTAATTTATACCAAATACAGTTGTACTTTGTAGCAGAATAACTCCATAAATGAACAAAAGAAAATGAAGAATCATATGCCAGGAAAGACGGCGAAGAGAATTTTATATCCTCTTTTTTCACCTGCTGCGAATTACTCAGTTGGGTCACACCAAGATAAATTTCAGGATTTTTTTTAATACCCGCATGCCAAACACATCTCACTTTTCTGCCTTGATTTTTCAAAGAAAAAGGTGCACATAGTACTTGTAAGTAAAGTGTTTTCCTGATATATGTATTGCTTGAACCATTATTTCCTGTGGACAAGGAGACTTGTCAAAGCACATTGCCTCTTTGTTATTTGTTGTTGGTGTTCAAATGTACAGTCAAGCCCTGCACAATGGACCTAATTTGTACCACACATACTATTCTGTTGTGTGAAATACTCTGTTATGACAATTTAATGGTTGAAAAATGTAAATTTTTAATTTTTACCATTAATTTTAAACCAAAGGAAGTCTATTTTGCGAATTTAGTCCATTGCACAGGAGGAGAAGCCCCCTCCAGAGGTGGTCTGTTGTGTGGGGGTTGACTGTACTCACATGCTGTGACAGGCATTGGTTTTGGGGATATGTTTTCTTTAAAAATGCATCCCTTATAGGATGAAAAATTCCACTTAAATTTCTTAAAAAGAAGATGCCCATAGTGATACTTCAGTGAATATATGTTTTACAGCAGATATTTTGTAACAAATATGCTGTCCAACAATCTTTCTGGCTAGCAAACTTCGAGCTTGGGCGTAAGGTGCCTTGGTGTACAAACTGTGATTGGTTGATATATAATTGCGAATATATCCATTTAAAAAAAATCCTGTGATTTCGCGCTCAACATTATTTATTTTGTTGATGCATCAGTTGAATCATTAGTGTTTCACTCAGAAATTCTGTGTAACACAGGTATAGAAAAATCTTTGGATTTACAAAGTCTGATTGGTTGAAAATATTTCATGTTAGCAACAAAATTACACTGCATTGCATATTAGAATGAACATCTGGCCCAATCTTCAAAAGTAAAATCCCTTATGCAGATCCTTTTCAACAAGTGGTTGAAAGCTTTCCTACAAACAAACACACACTAAAAGTTTGATTATTTTGCATTTCTAAAAAATTCAGAATTTTCACAGAATTCCTCAATGAAAGAGGGACAACTTTCAAATCTTTTGAGAGAAAAAAATTTCAAAGGGCTGGTGTCTTTTGTTTCAATAAGTTCCTCTTATACCCAGGGCCGGAATTAAACCACATTTTGGCCTTATGCTGCACACAAAATGGGCCTAATTTCCCTTTGAAAAAATGAATTTTCCTCACACAATTAAAAATGTAATTTGTGGAGAACAAAGGATATCTGAGGCTAGAATCCAATCACACATAGATGTGGTAGAATTCCACCTCAATGAATCTCATTAAAATACACTTTTCTTATACTGCATTTTTCTTGGTCCTGGCCCTTTCCCCTTATGGCACCATGTTATAGAAATCTCATTGTAATGAATCAATTTTAGGCTGTTGTCTCATCATAACAAAATGTTGGGCTTGATTCTGTGCATAGACTATAGCAATTATTTCATAAATGGTGGAAGTAATGAGAAAAAAATGAAAAGGTGCAAAATTCCAACTTCTTGAAAAACTAAAGATTTTTGTAGAGAAGGTTTGGTGTTAAAATACAATAACATCACCTATTTTTTGGAAATTCTTCAGCTACATTCTGAATTGTATGCCTTTCTTTCAAGTAAACATTGTCCTAGAAGATATGTTCCCCTATTTGAAGGAGCAGACAGAATTGAGCAAAAAATTTGATTTGCTTATGTGGTGTTTGCCAAAACACTCAGTGACTTTTTCCAGGGCTTTGGATTATAATTGTACAAAATTCACATTTTGGAAGAATATAAAAAATATCAACCTGAGTTTCAAGCCAGCAGGCTTTTTTTGTGCTCAAATATTTAAAATTTTGAAGATAGCATATGAAAAACCACCCACTTACCATGGTTACAACAAAAATTACTTGAAAAGTGAAATTGCCCCACCTTGCCTTCATTAAACATTTAATAATAGGCATAAATCAAAAAATAATGTGAAAATGTATCTAAATTACAAAGTTACAATTATATGCTCCAACATAAACCTCAGTGCATTTGAGAGTTATTTTGAAGTGTTTAATTAGGAATGGGCACAAAAATATCAGTTGTTCCATTTGTGGCACAACAGATGTACATAATCAAAGAAATGCATGATGATGAAGTATGTGTTTCTGTCCTGAAAACAGAAATATCTCATCATAATTTCAACTTTAACCTGGATTGCATATCAAAATTACATCAACTTATTCCATTTATTCAAAAAGGCACCAAATTTTAACCCATAATGTGTGGCTCACTTGGGATATTTGAAAATAAAAATTTTTGTTTCTCATCCCACCCAGCAAATAATTTGGGCGTTTCAAAATGCGTTTTATACGCATTTCTAGCCAAAAATGCTACGCATTTCAAACCTCTCTATGTTACGCCTACTTGGGATTTTAGTTAATGCATACCTTATAGGCGTTTCAAAATGCCCTCTAGTTACAGCTAGGTATTTATCCAGGCATAACTCAAGTTACGCCTGGATAGGATTGATTATAATGCAGAAATGC